TCCTCAAGCAGTGCCACGTCCTGTCAGCAGCCAGCTGTCCTGGCCCTGGCCTGCGGGCCCGGGGAGGCAGAGGGCAGGCAGCGCTGCTACTCCAGGTAGATGTCTTCTGTGGGGCAGGTGTACTCCACAAACTGCTTGTAGAACTGCTGGAACGCTCTCCTAGGAGGCAGGAGACACACGCTGACGGGGGAACTGGAGCCTCAGGCCCGGGTGGGCTCCAGCCCCCTGGCTGCTCAGCTCTGTTCTCTACAAACTGTTTCCTACATGAGACTGCAATTGGCGAGAGGGTCTAACAGCTAAAACGCGTGGAAGCTACTCCTCAAGACCACGCAGGCCTCTCCCGAGGTCCCTGCACTGTGACCTGGAGGCGTGTGCAGAGCTGGGGCGGGGGGCTGAGGGTGAGGCTGAGGATTGCGCTTGAGGGCTTGGGCCTGGGCCAGCTGGCGGCCCGGCGCTTGGTGGGACACACACATACGTACCCCACAGATTCCGCCAAGACTTTGGTGGATTCTTCAGACACAAAGACGTGGCAGGCAAACCGGTGGTCAGCAGGGTGCTTAGTGATGAACCCGAAGTACCTGTGGGAGGACAGCAGTCTGTCTGGGTAGCTCAGACCCCTCCGGGCACATTCGTGGCCCCATGTCCTGCCATAATGGCTCCAGACCCAGCCCACACCTCGGCCTCTGCTCCTCCCCACTTACTTGTTGTTCTTCGGATGGTATCCACAGAAAGAGATGTTTTTTAACTGGAAAAAGTGGCTACATTTATTCCCCTGCAGGAGAAAGAGTAGAAGAGGGTGGTCATCAGCCTGCAGGGGGGCAGAGGAGGGAGACCCAGTGGGAGAGTCGGGATGGGGCCAGGGGGTCACCTTGGCCTCCTGGGAGTCATCAGCCTTGACGCCTATCTTCACACCCCTCACGCTGATCTCTAGGACGCAGCTGGAGGGGGGGTTAAAGTGCACGGTGAGCCGGCGGGTGGTGGCGATCTGTGATGAGGGACAGGAACATCAGGCGGGGGTGTCCCTCTCCCGGGAGAGGGCTGGGGGGACTGGGCTGGGGAGTGGGCACCCGCTTCAGGGGAGCAGGAAGCAGGTACCTTTTGCATAGCGGCACAGAGGACTTCATTGCCCTTGTGGTAGGGAACCTGGACAGAGCCCAGGAACTTCACCCGAAACTGGTCCACCCAGTCGCTGTTTTTGGTCAGGGCTGGAAAGCAAGCATGAAAGTGAGGCGCGGCCAAGCCAGCAGAGGGTGCCACCATCCACTATGTCCCAAACTGGCTGGGCTCACTTTAATCAATCGTGAAACTGACCCAAAGTCGCCTCTGCTCAGCCCCTCCCCGGGTGCTGAGGTCTGGAGTATAGGCTCCCCTGGCAGCAAGTCAGGGCAGGGGAGATGTGTGGCCCGGTGGCGTCAGGCAGGGGAAAGGGAACACTACCTGCCATCTGCTCAGGCTCCTTGGCGACCTCGATGGCGTAGTAGGCAGGAAAGATGCCCCGGGCCCCCGTGCGCATGTTGTAGGCCTCGTACCAGTAGTCCTCAGCCTGTAGCTCCACCAGCAGGGGGTCGTCCACTTCCAGCTCGAGTTCATCTTCATGTCGAGGCACAAACCTGTTCCCAAAGAAAGCACGTGAGGACTTCACCGCGGGGCCTCTCCAGCCAGGCCTTCCATCGACTCCCCGCCCTGCTCTGGCGTCTGGGAGCTGCACCGGCATCATCAGTTCAATAAACATTTGCAAAGCATCTGTGAGCCTGTCAGTGCTAGCTCCTGGGGGAAACCAAAGTCAATCAGATACGCATCGGCCATGGAGGAACTCACGGCCACGGGAGGAAGTGACCGGAGCCACTGATACCATGAGAGGCGATGGGAAGCAAGCACTTCCATGTGGAGGGGAGGGAGGGTGTGGGTTTGCTGTGGGGTCAGGTATCGGGTGCTGGGTGCCCTCCTGGGCTCTGGTCCCTCGCACATCAGGTGCTCGCTCCTGTGCTCTGGCAGCACAGCAAAGGCCACACGGCACTGGGAGTGTCTGCTCCAGCACCCTGCTCACTGTTCTGAGAGGGGACTGTCCCCTGGGGGTGAGGACGGATCACTGCCAGAAGCGGGGTTGGGTTTAGGCCAGTGGTTCTCACCCTTCCTAATGCCGCGACCCTTTAATACAGTTCCTCATGTTGTGGTGACCCCCAATTTCATTGTTATAAATTGAACATAATTAAAGCACAGTGATTAATCACAAAAACAATATGTAATTACGTATGTGTTTTCCAATGGTCTTAGGCGACCCCTGTGAAAGGGTCGTTCGACCCCCAAAAGGGTCGCGACCCACAGGTTGAGAACCGCTGGTTTAGGCCTGTGGTGATGGCAGAGGCAGGGAGGCCAGCCCAGCTCTGTGCTCTCACCTGAAGATGGCCCGATGGGTCTGCTCCTGCTCCTCCCCGTTGATGACACAGGAGAAGAGCCCAAAGGATTCCGCACCTGCGGATGAAAGGGTCTGGCTGGAGGAGGAAGGCCCCAGCTCTGGTCGAGTTTTGAGGGGCAGGTGGAGAGCTCTCAGTCCTGATGCCTTGAACTGGATGGGCCTGAGGCCTCCTCCCAGGAACACCCTCGTTTCAGCTCTTCCCACCCAGATCCCCCCCACAGCTCCCGCTGCAGACTCACTGGAGGAGCGAGAGCGGCCACTCATGAAGACGTTCAGGAACTTCTTGGAGAAGTGGACGTCGGGTTCGTCGGGGGTGGAGTCCTCGGAGAGGCAGGCAGAGGGCCTCAGTCGGGGCGCCTCCTCATATTCTTCCCCGATGGCCGACTCGTAGGGCGAGGAGGCAGAGGCGCAGTTGTCATAGACAGTGGCCGAGTCACTCTCGTCACTGTAGTCTCCGAAGCACGGCCGCAGGCTCACCAGCTCCAGCTGTGCGTGCTCATCCACCACCAGCGTGTACTTGACCGAGTCGTAGGACAGCGCACTGGTGTCCGAGCTCAGAGAAGCCCGTGGAGGCGGCGGCGGCTCCCCCAGGCTCCCCCGCCACCCTCTACCTAGTGGCTCAGCCCGCTCCGGGGAGGACAAGCAGTCGAAGCCCTCATCCTCCTCACTGATGGAGGGGTGTGGCCGCCCTGCTGTTGAGGGGTAGGCAGCAGGGTCTGGATCGGAGCTGACCGACATCCGGCTCTCAGCTGGCGGCAGGAAGGCAGAGGTGGGCTCTGCAGGGTCTGGGGGCCTCTGCACTGGTGTCAGGTAGATCTCCTCAGTGGCCTCCAGCCTCACATCTGCCTGGTAGTGGATGCGGTCTCGATGCGAGTGGCCCCGGCCACCGGGTGGAGCAGCCTGAGGGACACTGGGAGGTGCCATCTGGGTGGCAGCACTGCGGCGGCAAGGGCTGTCGGTGGAGGTGCCTCGGTCTGTGGTGGGGGCGGGGCTGCTCTGGGGTGGCAGCTCATCACTCAGGCAGATGTGTTCGTGGGCAGGTGTCTGCTCCCCTGCAGAGCAGGCAGGTCAGAGCTGAAGGCAGGTGCCCTCACCCTTGGTTCCCAGGCTACCTGCTCCCCACATTCAGCACTTTTACTCAGCATGTCACGCAGAAGCAGGCCCAGGGCTGGCTCTGGAGCCTGCCTTCACTCGTGCCACAACTGATCTCAGATGGGCCCACTCGCAGCTGTGGGACAGGCAGTTTACCTCTACTCACAAACTGGAGACTATTGGGTTTGCTCTCTGCATGGGGACTGGGTGAGGGCAGGTAGGAGTCCAGGTAAGGGAACTGACTTACCTGTCTTCAGGGGTGAGGATGACCGAGACACGCGATCCTGCCAACTGTGCTTCTTGCCCAGAGAATTATTATTCAGCGTGTCCTGTGCAGGAAACAAAAGGCCCTTGTGACAGCAGCAGTCAACAGTGCCCGGCACAGAAGGCCCTGGCCCTGCCCCCAGCAGGCCATCCCTAGGCCCTTCGCTGCACCCTACCCCCACCACTTGTCCAGGCCTCACCCAAACCCTCTCTGGAGCAGGCAGGATGGGTGGCAAGTCCCAGCCCACCCAGCCAGGCCTATTGGCTCTAGCCAGCCCTTCCTCCTGGCTCAGGGAAGCTGGTCAAGCCTTAGGGCAGTGGTTCTCAACCTTCTGGCCCTTTAGATACAGTTCCTCATGTTGTGACCCAACCATAAAATTATTTTCGTTGCTACTTCATAACTGTAATGTTGCTACTGTTATGCATCGTGATGTAAATATCTGATATGCAGGATGGTCTTAGGCGGCCCCTGTGAAAGGGTCGTTCGACCACCAAAGGGGCCGCAACCCACAGTTTGAGAACTGCTGCCTTAGGGAGATGCTCTTGTCAGCCTCCATAAAAGAGGTGATGGCCGATGTGTGTGCTGGTGAGTAGGGGAGGAGGTGCGAGAGAAGCAGGAGCCATCTGGGCACAGTCAGCCCCCTAGTTCCAGACACTGAGGATTAGGTAACATGAAGACTCCAACCCAAGTCCCTGAAGCTCAGGAAGCTATGGCCTAGGGAAGGGGCAGAGGCAGCTGCAGAGCCTGAAAAGCGCACAAGGAAGGGTCTCCCGGCAGCTGGCCTGGGGACTGGGGATGAATCATCCACATGACGACTCCACTCGGTTCCCTCAGCCCCCCAGGAGCACATGACTGAGGAATGACTGATGTGGTTGTCAGAGGCCCTTCTTGCTGGATCTGCTGCGCTGCCCATGCCACATTCTCAGCCCCCAGGAACCCTCTCCACGATGCCTGTGTACAA